CGATATTTTTATAATATTATTTTTCTGTATATAATAAATAATTGTTAATTTTATTATAATTTTACTCAAATTAATCAAATTTTGATAAGTAAATTTTTAGTATTGTATTGTTATAATACTATTCTACGTTATTATATTTGAATATTATTTTAAATTATATTTTGTTTTTGTTATTACATAAAAATTTTAATTTAAGTTTTAGTTATTTATTTAAATAATTTATATGATTTCTTAGGACTCAAAAAATGGATAAATGTGCATGTAGAAGTTTTTACATGGATAAAGACTTTTTAGTATCAGGCAGGTATAAATTTATATATATATTTTTTAATGGGTGCATGTATAATAATAACTATATATATGTATCTATATGTGCTTTTGTGTGTGTGTGTACATATAACAACATTTCATTTTCATATTTTCTTTCTCCCACTTTTCACGTTGTCGAGCAGCTGCATATAACTGTACAGTTGCAGTCGTAGCCGCACGACCGCACATCTTCATCCTTTCTTTCTTCTTCATCTTCTCTCTTATTTCTCTTCTCTCTCCCTCCATGCCCACCATAATTACCTAACATGTATATATAACGTATATGTTATTCCTTAAAAAAAAAAACATACAATATATATTCTACACATTACATTAATAATATAAATATATATTTTTTTATATTAGTATATAAATTATTTTGATCTACTTTTGATATGGATACGGGTGGAACTAGATTTTTGGCCAAGGCTAGACCAGACCAAATAGAGACAGGTCCAATCTTTGGTTCGAACTCTTTTCAACTTTCTCGATTTTTTTAATTTTTAATTTCAGTCTAATTTAATTTTTTATTCGTGAACAATTTTGTTTGTGCCCACATCAAATTTCATATGAAACGTATTTTTTTTTCTTTTATTTTTTTATAAAATTATTCGTTATTTTATTTAAAAGCAAAATAATAATTAAGATATGAGAAAAATGGTAAATTAATATATTTAGTATTTAACAATGATCGTGTCGTGTAGACCAAATCTTGTTGTTTCCTTCTTTTCATAACATTGAGCTAAGTTTATTCACATCATTGATTTAGTTTGCTTTTTTTTTTTGTACTTTATTATTATATTTATTTTCATAATGTTTTATTTATTATATGTTTTTAGGAACGGAGAGTTGTAATATACGGATACCTTATTTTTATTTTCTATATATTTTACCTTTTTTGCATCTTTATTTAATCAACACTTTAAATCTTGCTTTTAAAATTTCATGCACATTATTCTTTTGCACTCTTTGACCACTGTAACAAATAAACTAATTGTTAAATTCTATCTTCTAGGAACTTAAGATATTAAGATCTTTGAAAATATCTAATAAATATAAAGTATTAAGAGATTAATTTTTTAGTCGATAGTCTTCAATACTTAATATTTGTTCTATAATATACCTAATTTTTATACTCATAATTGACATAAGGATAACTGAGGATATCATGTAAGGGATCTTGAATGTCATGGTATATTCTAATTATGGATTTCTCAAATTTTTGAATAACGATTCGATATCAAATTTTTTAGGCTAGCACTTGAGTCTTATCTATACCTTTTTAAGATCATGAACTTAAATAATACCAAAAAGTTGTGAAATGAAGAGGTACATATTTAAAGTTGTCTTGCACTGTCGATTTCTCTATCTTCTTCGAGTTAATAAAAAATGTAAGTCTTCTTTTGTACTCCTAAGACGCTAAATATGGAATAGTAATACAGTTGTGTGATACAAAGGTTGAACCTTAAAATACTCTCTCACACTTGATAAATAGAGTAATTTCCTAGTTTTGACTATGGAACCAAGCTATTATAAGATGATATGATGTTTTTACGTGCTATTAATAAAATTTCTTTCTTAAGTCACTTAGAAACGACAAGTATTATTAGGTTTAAAATTTTGTATTTAGATTCTTTAAGTAAATGAACGTTTAAATTTTTATTTGAGAATATAGGTGAAAAGAATCTCTTAATGGTACTTCTCCATTCTTATAATTTTTTTTTTGAAGTTTTATGAGTTAATGTATTTTAGGTGTGTAGCTAGGGGGTTTATTTTTAGAAGCTTTTCTTATATAGTTTGATTTTTAAGTATGCATACATCTTATATGAAATGTTGGTTTGTGGAGGAAAAAAAGTAGGAAAGACACTCCAAAAATATTTTTCTTTATTTTGGGTGATGTTGAGGTTTAAAGATTATAATTTATTATTTTATAAAAAGTATTTTCCTGTTTTATGAAGGTTTAGGAATGGGTTCATGCATTCCACTCAAGGGCAATGATAATAAGTTTTTTAACAAGTTGTACTCAACTTTAAAAAAGAGTTAGCGTTCAATATTGATTGAAATATTGTTAATTTGTAACTAAGTTTTTAACTAGCTCAACTCTCTCAATAATATGAAAGTAATATATATAATATCCTTGCTATCGTATACGATTCTTATAGCATACAACACAAATTCTCTTTAACTAATATTTTCATTTTCTTGTTGGTTGCATATTCTATGTTTGAGTACATATTACATTTTTTGAAATGAGATATATCGAGAAAATATGAAATATATAACAAAATATTATTCATTAAAATGCAGTTAAATATATCTACATATGTGTTGGCATGGAGTCTTAAATAGGAACTCGTAATATGTCAACCTACTATTCAAAACTCTATCCGAAATGTAATATAAAAACTTCATGCGAAGCAAATGCCCTTGATAGTATATACATGCATGCAGATAGACAATTCTAACAATTTTATTTTTGGATAACTCCAAATTAAATGCAGCATTAACACTTGAAAAAACACAAAATTTCTAAGTTTAGTTAATTGCGTATTTCATAAAAATGATAAAAAATTCGGTTTTTCTTTTTGAAAAAAATTCTCTTTACCAGCACATAGTGAATTAAAAATTAGATTGTGATATCTAATTACTTTTTAAGTTTGTGATCGATAACAATATTATTAATATGTAGTTAATATTAATGCATTTCCTATTCTTAATTTAATTATATACCATAAAACTAACTTTTACACATCAAATAACTAAATTCTAAGAGTTCAATGAAAATGAAGTTATTTTGATTGAAACACAATTTAAATTTTATTTGTTATTAAAATCAGTGATTCGAATTCATTTAAAATATTTTTTTAACGTTTTAATTTTTTTGTACGTTAGTAATCAAAACATATATAGTTAGAATCAATAGAAGAACAACATGACCAAAAAAAAAAGAATTTCTCATATAGAAAAGTTTATGCAAATAATTACACATTGTTAACTGTGCAAAACGATTTAAGTAGTTGAGATCATGCTACTATCTACTAAACTATAAATCATTTAAAATAATTATCACCTTAAAATATAACATAGAGTGAAATTATTTATTAATATGTATATAAAAAAATATTATTAAAAAAGTGAAGATACGAGTAAAACTAATTTAATTATATACCTTATTACTAACTTTTACATATCAAGCAACTAAAACATAAGAGTTCAGGTAGAATAAAGTTACTTTAATTAAAAGATAATTTAAATTTTATTAGTTATTAAAATCAGAAATTCGAATTCATTCAAAATATATTTTTAACATTTTTTATGTTAATATTCAAAATATAGATAGACGTAATAAAAAAATAATATGATAAAAAAATAAATAAATTTTTTCATATACAAAAGTTCATGTATATAATTGCGCCTTATAACTATACAAAATGACTTTTTCATATATAAAGGTTCATGCAAATAATTACAAAAGGATTTAAGTATTTGAGATTATGCTACTATATGCTAACCTATAAATCATTTAAAATAATTATCAACCTAAAATATAACTTATACCAAAGAATATGACACAAAAATTAAAAGTTGAAAAAAAATCAGGAGAACAAAAGAAAAAGGAAAAAGAAAAGAAAGAGATATTCACTTTGCAACTATATTATCCAGTCACCCATCATGGTTGACTCTAAGGTGCCTCCTCCGGTGACGCAATCAGCTCCGCTTTCACGATATATTGCCTCTTCCCCTCTCCTCATTTCCCTCAACCGATAAAATCGACGATATAAACAAAACTCGTGATTCATTCAGCTTCTAGAAAACCATAACAAGTCACCTAACTTCTCACGACATATTTATTCTACAGTTAATTTTCTCACATAACTTCCATCCATTTCTCTCGTTCCTCTTTCTTTTCCCTTGCTCTCTCTAGTTCCCAGTCGAGGTAGAGAGGGAGAGGAAAATAAATAAAGAAAAGCAGAAATAAAAAGGGGTAGAACTTTATTTATTTCACTTATTTTCTGTTTTTCTAATTTTCTCGGTTGAGACGGTGAAAGATTCGATCTCGTGGACCTGACTCTTGACAGACCTCTCTTCTGTCAGTTATATCGTCATCATCGATTCATCGGTATCGTTTGTGTGCAGGAGGAGGCCGAGTAGAATCAACTACATCGAAGTCGTTTCTCTCTTTTGTCGTCCCTCAGCGGGTCAGACTTCTTCGATGCTAGTTCCAGTATCTTCAACTGGAGGATTATGCTTTTGTTTTGTTTTCGTTGCCTAACCCTGGGTTTTTAAATGCTTGCTGTCTATTTGGTTTGATACCGTAATTGTATGTTATCGATCAATTTTATGTGTTTATTTAGGAATTATGGAAATGCTATTTGTTTGCTTATGTATTCTTCTTTTAGGGATTTATAATTCGGTTGATCAGGTGAATTTAGGAATTAGATTTATTTGATGATTTGAGATGGATTAGACGTGAGGATTTGATTGTTCCATGAACTGGAGATTGAATATAGAGATTTAGACTGGCTAATTGGACCGCTGGTATTAATGGATAATCGAAGACTATTAATTTTTTTTTGTATGTTGTCGTTTGATTCGGATTTAGAGAGGTCCATTTAGAAGGCCGTTAGCTTTGTTCGTTTTACCTGAATTTAACAAAAAAAGAACTATTCTGTATTTAGAAGTAAATGATGTCAGCCAGACATTTTCTGAGAGCATTTTTCAAGCTCCTTTTTTTTAATATTTAATAACGATGTACTGTTTTACGAAATGATTATGGAAACTTCACTCAGTTTAGCAGAAATCTTTTCCAGCTGTACTGGAATATTTTGTTTCAAATTATGTGATGGGGACTTTCCTTAAAATTTGTTCTACTGGATGAGCATTCGTTCTTTGGACTTATTCTTTTTTTTTTTTTTTTTTTTTCCCGAAAACTTGTCCCTGTTCGTTACGTTAAATGCATATAAAAACTGTCCTTATGCATTGAGGAAGTAGGGGAGTATCAGAAGAGTTGTTGTTATTAGAAGCAGTAGTAATAATTTATTATTGTCGTTGTAGCAGCTGCGGCAGCAGCAGTTCATGGTTATGCCACATCGGAAAAATTATTTTTGTCTTTGTTTCTGTATTAATCTCATCTTCTTTTGCAGGTTCGGAACTGTCCATATCATCACTTTGCTTTGTCATCTTATTATCTCGGATCGATATTGATTCTTCAGTTTTTGTATGCAAAGATAGTTTTGCTGGGTTTGGGATGTATTTGTCAGATTAGAGTCCGAAAGCATACTCTACGATTTTGCATAGGAGGCTGCAGGCTAATTGATAGGCTTACGACCTTGGGAGGATATATTTCCTTCTAGGTTGACAGTTCAATCACAGACTACAAAGTGCCTGATAGGATTCACATACTGTTGCTAGAACAAGTGTTGGTGAGAAGTTGTTAATGAAGTCTGTGGAATGCCATTCTGCTTTGCCCTGAAGGAAGGGAAAATGCTAACAAATTGGAAGAAAGCACGCATTGTACTGACTCTCACTTCTCCAACCTACATTTCATTTATGTTTTTCAGATCCTGTTGGGGTAAAGAGGGTGTGAATGGTTTGCTATAAAGAAGAAAATATGGAGCATGCTTCAGAAAAAAGATATCCCGTTGATGCAGGAGAATATAAATTATATGAAGAAGTTGGTGAGGGTGTCAGTGCCACTGTCTACAGAGCTTTATGTATTCCGCTTAATGAGATAGTTGCTATCAAGGTTCTTGATCTCGAGAAATGTAACAACGATCTCGTAAGTATGCGGCTATTTCTTTCATTGGTAGCTTGAGATACTTGTGTTTATTGGCCATTAGACAGGTAACAGCTTGGTTATGATTGTTTTCTTGCCTTTGTTCTCTCTCTTCTCTCTCTCTCTCTCTCTCTCTCTCTCTATCCCTTTTTGCCTCACATATATGGGCATACCCATCTCTTATATCACCACGGGCACACATTGACGTACCAGTTCAGGGCAATGGTTAAAAAACTCATTTTGTTATTGTCTTTTACTTCTTACATATCCTTGCAAATAAAATAAAGCCTTAATTCATTTTTTTGTTCTAATTTTTGTACCAAAGCCATTGTAGATTGGTAACTAAAACTGAGACTGATAGATGGTACAGAGTCTCATGTTTAATTTTGTTTCCTTTGTTCCCTCTGCAACAGTATATATCTTGGAGCATTAAGAAATGAAATTATTCATTTACTTCTGATGCTTGTTATAAGTCTCAGTCTCACCATTGTATTAAGAGATAGTGCTGCTTTATTCATTTTTATAAATATTCTATACCATTAATGCAGGATGGTATCCGCCGAGAGGTACAGACAATGAGCTGGATTGATCATCCTAATTTGTTACGGGCCCATTGTTCTTTCACTGCTGGTCATCACCTCTGGGTTGTGATGCCATACATGGCTGGGGGATCTTGCCTTCATATAATGAAATCTGCTTATCCAGAAGGATTTGAAGAGCCTGTTATTGCTACTTTACTGCGGGAGGTTCTCAGAGCTCTGGTTTATCTTCACTTCCATGGGCACATCCATAGAGATGTGAAGGTATTGAATTTAGCTGCAAGCCACTGGCTTACTTGGAATATTCTTTTGCCCCAGAGTCCTTTGCATAGTAATTGTGTTAATTCATAATATTGTATATGATGCAACATTAAATCTTAGTATTAGAATTTGCCTCAAGAAAATTACTTTCTATGCGTCTGAGAAGATTTGAGAAGATTAGTAAATGTGCAAGGAATTTTTTATATTTTCTGATATATGATCCATTATACTCATATCTCGTGTTTGGACTGTTAACTTCTGTTTTGGATTTAGATCTGCTTAGTTGTTTTGTATGGGAGTCAAGCTTGGTTAAATGTTATAACATACTGTTATTTAGTCTCTGTATCTGTTCTCATTTTCCCCTCTCCATTTTGGGGATGGAATTGCATTTCTGATTTACGTTCATTATTCTGGTGACAGGCTGGGAACATTTTAATTGATTCTAATGGTGCAGTCAAGTTAGCAGATTTTGGTGTATCAGCTTGCATGTTTGATACTGGGGATAGACAACGTTCAAGAAATACTTTTGTCGGAACCCCTTGCTGGTATTTCCTTTCAAGTGTTTTACAATTTTGGATTAAGTATGGCAATCTTATCACTTATTTATATGATGTTAATAAGTTAATGGATTGTTATAAAGAGTTCCATAATGGCATGTTTTCCCTTAGGATGGCACCTGAAGTTATGCAGCAGTTGCACGGATATGACTTTAAGTGAGTGGGTTCTTATGTGTATTTTTTAAAAAATGTTTTCTTCATGATGTTCATTGTTGGTTTTGTTTGGTTATAGTCCTAAGATTTGTTTATGTTACCAGAGCAGATATCTGGTCGTTTGGAATAACAGCACTTGAACTTGCTCATGGTCATGCCCCTTTTTCCAAATATCCACCAATGAAAGTAAATTTTCTGATTTTCTGTTGATGTACTGATCTCTGTTATTAGTGCTTTGTTAGTTGATCTTTTCCAATTATCTTCTCTGTGCAGGTTTTGCTGATGACCTTGCAAAATGCACCTCCAGGTCTTGATTATGAAAGGGACAAAAGGTTCTCTAAGGTTTGTGTGTTTAATAAAAGCTTGACTGTTATATAGGTCATGATGCTCTTCTGAAGGTTAGATACTTTTACAGTCTTTCAAGGAGATGGTGGCCGCTTGCCTAGTGAAGGATCCTAAAAAGCGTCCTACTTCAGAAAGGCTTTTAAAGCATCCTTTCTTTAAACATGCTCGCTCAAATGATTATTTGGCTCGTTCAATTATTGAGGGCCTTGCTCCATTAGGTGAACGTTTCAGGATGCTAAAGGTATCTTGCTTATGCTCAATTGTATTTTTCTAGTTTGCAAGCTCCGTCAGAAGGGATTTGTTTGTATAATTTGATTTCTCGTCTAATTTTCAGGCGAAAGAAGCTAATCTTCTTATGCAGAATAAAAATCTTTACGAGGATAAAGAACATTTATCACAGGTGAGAATGACAATTTCATCATATATATTAAATGTTCATAGACTAGTCTGGTTTTAATGAACAAGACATTTTCCAACCGAGTGTATAAAGAGGGCTCTTTCCCAAAACGAGTAAATAAGAGGAACAAGGACAATTTGTTACCAGAATCTTTGTTTTGTTCTGGGTTTGAGTTTTTGTCACTTTGCAGCAAGAGTATATTAGAGGAATTAGCGCTTGGAATTTCAACCTTGAGGATCTAAAATGCCAGGCTGCCCTTGTAAGTTTCTAATATGATTTTAGTTAGTATAGTCAGTTATTTTGGAGGAAAAAAGTGGTTCATTGATGAAATCATTTTCGTAATAAACATGGTGGCTTGCAGATTCAAGATAATGATGTCATGCCAAATGCAGAAGAACCAGATGTTGGCAGGAAGGAAAGCAGCAGGTACCATGAATTTGTACTTCCAGCGGAGAGGTCATCCCCTGAAAGGGCTAATATTTCAGCCACCGCACACCATCTGGAGGTATTATTTACTATAGAGCTCTTCTACTCTTGAATTTCTTTTAATTTTTGGTGATTCTCCTTATGCTTCTCCAGAAAAAAAAGGACCTTGCTAGTGTTCCTTGGCTGTAACTTGTCCCCCAGCATTTGATATTCACCTGATGCTTGTTTCAGGATGGGCTCAATGATCTTCGTGATTTGGAGAGTTCACTTGCTTCATTTCCCATTAAGCCTCTTCAGGCGCTCAAGTACAATTGCTTTCTTACTTATACTTGCTGTTCCTTTGCTGATAGCCTCATTTCTTTTTTCGCTCTTTTTGAGAAGGCTGAGCCTCATTTATCTCAAGATATTGTTTTAAAGTTTTCACATCTTTGAAGATCTTTATCATCTTTCTTCCTCCTTTAATTATGCCACTAACTTTTACTGCAGAAGCTGTTTTGATGTTGGTGAAGATGAAGATGGTGCCACTAATCCCAATTGGAAAGGGACTGCTCCTGCTCCCTTAAATTCCAGACAGCAAATTCTTACCAAGTCAACAAGTGGAACCCTGTTCCCAGAAAGTGGGGAGAAATGATGGTGAAAATTCAGTCCAAAGTAGCTCGTTACCGCGTCATATCATTTTGGAGCAACAAAAGTTCTTAAGTGGTCCAGTAATACCGGATAATGCATTTTCACCTAAAAAGATCATCACAGATGGGGACAGGTGAGTGTTGTATTGGTTTAAATTTAAAGATTTTTTCTTTTAGCATTGCTCATTTTGTGTAGATGAATAATAAGGTGGAAAGCATATAAGGTGATGATATTTCTGTTCACAGGTTGATTGAAATGTTTATGCTATTTGTTACTTTTCTAAAGGATCATGTTTTACAAATTTATGAGATTCTTTATGTTTATTTTTGTTTTTATTTTTTTTTCATAATTTAAGAAAACCCATACAGAGGAAGTAAAGTATTCTTATCCATAAAGTGAAAGTAATCTATTAATAGTCTTGAATGATATTTGAATTATGCAAATTTTGGATCTCCCAAAAGTGCAAAGGAGTGTGCATTGAAGTCTTAAACAGTTTATAATTTGTCTACTGATATAGCCGTATGAAATTGCTTATGTGAATTGCCATAGGTGCACTCTTTATTTTCTGGTCCTAAAGATACTTGAGAACAATGTGAAATCTTTAGAAAGTGTTACTGATAGAAATATATTTTGGTTCTAGAGCTTCGCAATAGCAGAATGCAAGGCCATGATATTTAAATAAAACTATGATTTTAGCCTTCTAGGTTGTCTTTTCGGTTATTGATTATTATATTATTTTTCTTTTTTTCTATATATTTTTTTCATATTCAGTGTATCTTATTCTTTTTATTTCAGTGTATATTATTGACAAATCATGCCTCAAACAAATATAATTCAATCATAGATAATAGCTCTATTTATTCTTTATTTGTGGTTGTTTTAGTTTTTTTTCTTTTACTTCATTCAAATGACATCATAACTTCCACTTTTCTTTATTTCTTTATATTTTTTCTTTTTGAATGTGGGCTAGATTGGGCAATTTGGGTGTGGTATGATAGCATAGTCGAATGGGGTCGTGTAAGGTATTAATAAGTAGGGGAAGGATTAAACTAATTTTACTGTTTGAGAAAGTTGAGTAAGCGTTTGAGTAGGATAGTAAAATGTAAAATAATTGTTATAATACTCTTGAATTAGTAAATTAAAATATTAATTTAGTGATTGCAATAATCTTAAAATATATTAATATAATAATCTAGAAATATATATTTCTAATTTTAATAATTACAAAATTAGTGTATCCAATTTCAGAATTACTAATTTAATAAAAAGTGAAAAAATTGCAAAAATAAATTGATCTCCATAGTATGATGGTAGGTGAGCTCTGCCTGAGTTGATGATAAGGCTACAAACTGTTGGGTTCAATCGTTCCTGTTTGTTTGCAATGTCTTATCAATATAGGTACAATTTTGGACTAAGACTTGGGAATCTAATATGCATCCTTGTAGGAATGGAGTTGTAGTCCATGCAACAAAGGCCAAAGGGGTAAAAAGGAGGAACAAGAGCTACCGAGATGGCTACTTCTCATGTGTGTTACTAATGGAGTGCCTTCTCCACCATGGAATGTTCAGTTGAGTCATAGGTACTGCTCTTAGAATGAGCCCGTTATAACAATCTCATTAAAATGCGATTTGTCCAACAATTTTCCAAGTAAGATCCCATTTTAGGAGGCTATGAGTTAGTTTTTCGATTGTCAAATCCGGAATCTCTTGCTTGAAGTATTGAATTAGTATCACTTGACGACCACCTCATTGGTCATGTAGCTGTTGGGAATCCAGGAGAAACATATTTGGGGTGCTTTGCAGTTGACCATGAGGGAGAGAGATGGATGATGGAGATGGAGGAGGTTATGTCATGGATGTCGTAGTCGCCCAAGGAAGATGAAGAGACATATGGAGAGAGGAATTGCAAGAAAGACAGAAGAGATAGTTTCTGTGGAGGTGATTTTGCATAAGGGTCTTGGTGGCAATAGAGGAGCAGGTGGGTGTAAGTGGAGGAAAAGAAGAGAGAAAGAATAAGGCAATTTAGTCATCTTATATGTGTTATCAATGATGGGAAAATATTAATCATGGTCAATTAACTGTCAAACTAACAAAAAAATTATAAAGGTCCTGTTTTATAATGTTAATTTTAATTAAGGCAAATTACACAAGAGTTCCTGGGTTTTGGGACTAATTGCAACTAAGTTCACTAGAAAAAGAAAAAATTACACCTTAGTTCTTGAGTTTTGAGAAAACATTACTATTCAGTTTAATGAACTAACAAACATTAAAATCACTGCTAAAACAAAAATAGGTTTTTTCACCCCAAGATAACTCACGAGTAAGTCTTCTAAAAACATGAAATCTTAAAGAAAATTGAAAATTTTTTACTGAAAATTTTTGACTGAAATTGGAGAGGTTTTGGGGAACATTCGATGGATATGCTCAGCAGAAACTTGAAGAAGTTTGATTGGAATTTGGTGTATACAAATTTGATTTAAAAATTTTGAAAAAAGAATATTTATATGGATTTGCATATTTTATATTCTTTGTACGGTTTGTGAAGTTTTAACGTGAAAGAAAGGGTCATATTGTATTGCTTATATTTTTTTACAAATCATCCAAACAATCAAAGCTTAGTAAACTCACATTAACACTTACAAAATTTCAAATCAGATTTCTACAAACCAGATTCCAATCAAGTTTCTCAATTGCATTTCCCAGGCTCTCTCATCAATTTGTTCAAAATTCTTCACGCAGTTAGTATTTTCTTTCTGAGGTGTTTTTTTTGTGTCCTCTTGAGAATAAAAAAAGGTCCGGTTTGTGCATTAGTGGTCATTTTAATGTTTGTTTCATTGGATTATGTTGTAATGTTTATTCAAAAAACAGGAACTAGATTGTAATTTTTTAAACTAATAAACCTGTTTGTAATTAGGCCCTAAAACAGGGATTCTTTTGTAATTTACTCCTTCATTCGTAATAAGATATGATTTTTTATTTGTATTTATAAAAAGATGTTTTTAATATATCCAAAATGTACTCATGTTTTCATAGAATTATGCGAAGTTATGTTTTGGTGATTTTTTCAATGGTAAAATGTGGAAAAGTTCTTAATACTCTTCACATTATGTAATCAGTAATTATTAAATTTAAAAAATATAATAGATGAAATATGATGCAGAGTCCAGCAATCACATTATGCTTTGGTGTCCTTTCACCTTCAGTTTATAGTGTTCTGTGTTCAATCTCTTAGGCATCAGTTGGGCTATGGCCGGGATGGTAAGAACTGAATTATTAGCTTGGGAGGGGTTGAGAAATGACAATAGTACGCCCTGCCTCATCCCTTTATCTATCA